AATTGCAGAGAGTTTTTGGCTGTTGTTGCTTAGCAACCAGAAGCTGTTTGTTGTGGGCTTTGATTATACTGCCCATGTTTCTTGAGCAGCTATAGCTGACTTTGACATTGTTCTTGTTAAAGAGCTTCTTGTTAAAGAGCGACAGAGCATCGGCTTACTCCCCAAAAACAAAACGCTGCAACTTATGCATAACCGAGAAACTTCACATAATATATTCAGACAAACAGTCAACACTAAACAAAAGAACCGAGCTATTGTCTAAATGCAGGCACAGCAACAAATACCTACTTAAAAACAATTAACTCATTTGCATTTTCACCTGTCTTAGCATTCATATACTCGCACAACCCTTGTATTCTCTCACTCCTGAAGATTGCATTAGCATGAAACAGTCTGTAGAGTGATAATACCGAGTTCTACAAGTTCTACATTTTCAATACTTTCAATATTTACGCTCTGCATCATCACGTGTATCGAGCACTATACGTTGCTAGTATTGCCAACTACATTTATTCATATATATATATATATATATATATGTATATATATGTATATATATATAAATTGCGAGACCTATCTCCTGGCCTAGGCCTATATGGTAATTATACATTATAGGCCAAATCAATATTTGTATATTATAGGCAAGCTATTACGTTACAACTAAAAATTAAATGAAAAAGATATATATGTATTATAGATAAAGAGTTAAATAGGCAATTTAATCATTAGGATGCGTACCGTTACTTAAGTACAAATAGTGTGAATGTCACTCCAAAAATGACATGGGAAGTTTATAATTACTATAACTTTATTTTGGAAACGACGCTTTTAAAACAGCAGACACGCTATTGCAGTGTGTTTACAAAAGTAACATACTGTACAGCCATAATACAATACGGTATTAAAACAGAGACTTTTAATACAATAATATACGTTACACAATTACACAAGTTGAATATATCACAGATCCTGTATGTCATTTAACACTTACAATTTATAACTTACAAAGCACAATTTATATATTGCGGCCAACTGACCTATACTATTTTAATATTTATAAATAATAATAATAATCAAATTAATAACATAAGATTTGTATAGGGCTCGCTCATATTTAAAGAGCAACAATCTATATACCCTATATACGGATTTTAATTACATTTTGATATACATATTTAATTAATTTTTGCTGATCTTACATATCATTTATTTGCAAAAATAACAGGAGCTACTTAAGGGTCTATATGGCAGGATTGCCTAATTGAAGAATGCTTGCCATCGAAGGGCTCTCTTGGTCTATCGGCGAGGATTAAACAACTACTCAAAAACAGTAAATTATTACAGTACAGGTATTTATAATATGAAATTGAATATAAAGTAGTGAAATCATTTTTAAAAAATCTATAAATAGAGTTACATTAAATTCGACTGCTAAAAAGATTAAATGGAATTAAACTATACAGGAGGCCGCTAACTGTATTATACAATATTATACACAGGAACGCACATCACGTTAGACACAGAACGCGCATCGCGTATGACACAAAATGGCTTCTAAATTCTCAATGTCGCAACTCTTTCTATCTATGGCTCTGTAGCGTCCCTTCTCCTAAGCTTAAACGTTTAAACTTCTCTTATTTTTATTCTGATTTATAATTATTTGTTATTGCTATTAAGTAGATTGAGTATTTTTCAACTCTTTTAGGTATTTTTATAGGGATTATTTTCTCTAGTTCAATATATATTTTACTAGTACACTTAAATTATTTTATTATACTTTCTGTTTAAGGTAAAGTCCGATATATTTATTGATTTAACTATACGTTGTTTGTTTTGTAAGTTATTTTAACATTTCTACTTCATCGAATTATATTATAAATTTATTGTAGTTGCAATTAAAATTAGGTTTGTTTCAAATATTTAGGCTTCTTAACTTCTGAACTAATAGGGTTATTGTCTTCCTCTCATTTTCATTTTGTCTTTGTAGGCATTTGAATTTGTATTTTGTAAGGACCATACTCATGGTTTCAATAACAATATCATACGGTAAACATCATCATCATCATCAATTTCCTATACCCGTTTACACCTTATTCAATATTACCTTTTGTTTTTATATAGGCCTAACTCCATTGTTTTGTGTTTTCCGGAGAAAATAATTGTTTCTTAATTTAAAATGTTTCACGTGTTTCTTTTAAGTAATTAAAATGTCGGCATATCAGTATAACACCTTTGTAATCCCTTGTATTATTAAAATACTTCTTTTTTTCTTTTGCGTATAATAATATTTATATAAATAACTAATAGTTGATATTACGATCACTACAACTACCACACTACTATCAATAATCATTATTTATTAGGCCTATTATAAATTTGTTCATTCATTCATTTTTTTTTCAATATTAGGGCCTATCATTTTCACATTGTCATATTATCATCTCAATTCATTTAATTCACAATACTTTTTCTCATTTATCACATTAATATAAATAATTGAAGTAAGATAGGCATGATTATGGCTAACACACTTTAATACCATTAGCTTTTTTTTTCCATACCAGTACCATTTAAAAAACAAGAGTGAAGTAATGAACAATACCTACATTATTATTCAATGTTCTTTCTTAACCATTGATACACACGCTAACCATTTCATACATATTCAACTATAACATTAGGATTTAGAGTAATGTGTAATTATGATTGCGATAAGACGATAACAACAAATGAAAAAAGGGTAATTAACATCTAATGCATTTTTTATATTAAAATACCGTTTCCTATTTTTTAATTAAAATTAATCCCTTTGAAATACCCACACTGCACTTCATATATTTAATTAAAAGTATTCCCATTGTATTAGGATTATTAAATCCAGGGTTTCTATTTTCATTGTTTCATTTACTTATACTGGCCCTGTTTTGGTCCCGGTCAGTGGTGGATCCTGGTTGAAATGGGGAGGGGGCAGGGTGGGACTTTTCACAGATGGAGGGTCTATATCTCATCATATATCCTCAGCTCTGGCGTAGTTGGGGCTGAGGTAAGACATTTTATGATTATGGAACTTCTAGATGGCCTGAAATGGCACTCACACAAATTTAAAATTTGAATATAAATTTCTTTTTAGTCTCCATTTTAAACAAAATTTGACAAATTTAAAAATTTAGGGTGTCCCGGCCGGCATCCCCTCCCCTTTTGATGTGATAATTACCCTTTTTCTCTGCCTATAATGTTTTATTATTTTGTCATGAACGTAGGCTCATGGCGCTATAATAAACTAGACTCATTTACACCATACTAATGTTGTTGACTGGCAAACCAAACAGCAGTATTCTTCGGTCAAAACATGACATCAACAACACGACATGATCTATATCCCAGCAACAAAAACACATTAGGCTTACAGACCCATTATTTTATATTCATACCATGTTGAATGCGAGCGCTGAAACGAAATGAATTCTATTGTATTGCATTCTATAGAGAAAACTGAATTGAATAAGGAACTCATTTTTAAGCCAAAGGTGATGTTTTACGGACAAAAATACTGGATGCTTCAATGATTTTACTGCATTCATTCGTGTAATATTATGTAGTAATATTAGTCACGAGTGTATTCGAGTTTTGAGATAAGTCATTAAGCAATTATCTTTACAGGATAATGAAGAAAAGCAAGAAGATTTAATTCTAAGCAGAGATATAACATCAACTACTGCAGGTGAACACAACTTCCGATGTTTATAACCTTGATTGATGCATGTTTGTTGGCGGAAACAGATCAGTGCCTTTACCACTTCCTTCTAATTTAATTTGTAAGTTAACGAATTGAGTGTAGGCTTATAAAAGCAGTTGCAATGACTAGCTGGTGTGAGAGCCCGCTTGATCTTACCGTTAACCAATCAAAAACGCACACGGAGATTTACAAGCCATCATGGAACGCGTGCACTAACTCTTCAACTAACAGATACCTATATACCAGGCATCATTTTGCTACACGTTATCCAAATGTAGGCCAAATGGTTAATGCAGTAGATAGCCGTGTGACACAAGCACCAATAAAGAGGAAATATAGGCCTGCGTTTGAAGAGGAAAGCATTGTAGTTAACCATTTTGGCACTCAGGAGTCAGATAGTAGTGGAGTTGTTCAAAAGAAGCGCCGAACATCCCAAGTTGATTTTCGACAAGATAAACTGAGGGAAATGGGGACTCCTGTTGCCCACCATAATGACGATCATAGGGTCGAAAATGATAATAAAGGCCTACTTGCCAACATGGAAGCCTTTCTATCCGAAATGCAAATATTTTCTTTAAAAGTTCAGGAAAAACTGAACAAGGACGACCAGGAGAGGGTGCTGGTATTGCACAAACCTGTGCAAAATATTTCAGAGAAAGAACTGGACAGACACATTCGGTTTTACTCCAAGTGGTTCCAAATACATGGACTTCGAAGTCATTGCGTTTTCATCACGGAATGTTTGTTCGCTTATGAGAATTCAAAATGTCCAGCAAGATCTAAGATACACATGTTGGTTGCAGCTTCATCACATACTGGACTTGTTTTCCACAAGATACAACTAGGCGGGTTCTCTAGATCATATTACTCCAAATTTATCTCGACAGTTTGCTCAAAGTTACTGAACTACGGACAAATCCATTTTATTTTTGAAAACTGGCCAAAAACCGATTTAGAATACAGTCTACTGAAGGATAAGAACATTGGTATTACGTTTCTACCGACTAATCAGGAATATATGAGTATGTTAACACCGATGAAAAATTTTGTTTTGAACAGAGTACAAGATATTTTAGATCATAGTAAACTGCCAAGCAATGAAGATGCACGCAGGTTTGTGGTACCATTGAATACTCTTCATCATTTGTTGGTATGCAGCTATCTGGACGAGTCCCTCACATTTATATCACCTGCGGCTTTTTCTACTTGGTTCCGGCAGTTATCTAACCGTTTCATTGTAGCGGGTAGTAATCCAATGAAGTTCAATTTGTAATATATATAACATACGGTGCAAAAGTAAATGCGCAATCTATCCGGAAAACTTACGTACATGAAATGGAAGACAGTTATCAGTATAATAACGAAAACTTGATTTTAAATATAATTTAAAAGTAACAAACACTTAAAAATTGAAAACAACAACGACTATGATGCGAAGTACTAAGAAATAGTTTAAAACCGAGTATTGTAAAAATTAATGTGCCAACAGCAGATGAATTATACAGAGAGATTCTCATATTTCTAAATGACTTCAACAGTGATGTTAACTTGGAAAAACTGGAAATTATTGAATTAATATGGAACAAAACTGTTCTCAGCTGATCATTAATAGACCTACATGATGCTATACAATTCCAAAAACGACACCTACACAGAAGAGCTCAAGTAAAGTCCTATATGCAGAAGCTGGACATCAGAGAATATAAGATCTAAATCATCATGCACCAAAAATCCAAGCAGCTGGATATCGTGGGTAGAATGAAATTATTATTTTATGATCTCAAGAGAATTCGAGTGACTGCGAAACTTTATAATAGGCCTACTCAGAATGATGTAACTAAAACTCCCAGTTAAATGCAATACATAGTTCGTGAACTCTTCAAAAACTACGCGGAGCTAGTGTAGTTTACCAAGAAGGAAGCAGACCCACATAACGCTGATTACAACAAACACATCAAGGGAAAACATGACATTCAGTCATGGAGACTGAATGGAGTAACAATACGCAGAGAAAACTGCGTGGGTAACTAAGCACAATTATAATATAAAACGAGATATTCCTAGGCGTCTTCGAAAAAAAAATACAGTATTTAAAAGAAGAATACAGTACGTATTGAAACACAAAAGTGAAGAGAGACAGCGATGTTACAAATATATATAGCGACGGTAGCCATTCATCAATTAAATGCCAGTAAACAGAATAATTTCAATGTATATTCAGCAGCAGTATTTTTTTAAAAGGAAGTTACACATCTAGATGTGTATAAGAGACAGCACTAACTCTTCAACTAACAGATACCTATATACCAGGCATCATTTTGCTACACGTTATCCAAATGTAGGCCAAATGGTTAATGCAGTAGATAGCCGTGTGACACCCCCCCCCAATATTTTGACTATGTATGGGATAAAATGGAGCTTTACACACTTCAAAAGACTGTCACAGAAATATTTTGCACTGTCTTATGCGCTTACAAAGATGAAAATTAGCATAATGTGTTAATTTTGATAACAAAATTATTTTATCTGGTACCAATCTAAGCTCTTCTTTCCTCAGATGTTAGATGTGCTTGCAAAGAGAGCCACATTTCACACTGAAGTGTGTGTACGACATCAGTAATGTTATGTCAATTCCAAGAATGTTTAAGGTTATATCGATTGATGAGGAATTTATTGATTAGGCCTATTATAATAGCAAATTGCATCAATTTATTTTGCAAAAACAAGGTTTCCAGCTTCAGAGAGGGGCACATCCCCTCTCCGCACAAGGGCACACATTGGCGCTAACACCAGGCGCGTAACAGGGGTCTTGGGTCAGAGTGGGTATTTACTTTCCCGGTTAGTAATTTACCATACCCACCCCACCCCACTCCCCATATAGAAAACAATACGACATAGGGCTTATCTCATTTATAATAGGCCACACACGTGTGTTTGAAACTAAATATAAGCATTTTCATCATTGTTTTATTTATTACAAACATATTCTTTCACCATCAATACACATTGAGGCTCTTCTTTTAGGTTAAAACGATCTATTTTAAATTTTTCTTTCTTGAGTTTGGGACTATTATGTGTTTAAATAACTTAAAAGGATAAACCTAAAAAAGTCCTAAAAAATGCGTGCGAAGCGCGCAAAATATTTTTGTGTTTTTAATTCTAATTTCGTCGGAATTGATGAAAACTCCCTAAAATGTGCAATTTATAGAGGAAATTGGCCTACCGTAACAAGAAGTGCGCGCAAAGAATTTGAGAATTTAAGGAACTTTCAGAGGATGCATTTGTCAAGGGGTGGGGAAAGATTTTCCAAAGATGGATATTTTCCCCTTTTCCCCCGGTATTTTTAATTCTAATTTCGTTGGAATTTATCAAAACTCCCTAAAATGTGCAAATTTTAGAGGAAACTGGCCCATGCTAACAAGAAATGCGCGCGAAGCGCGTGAAATTTGAGGTTTTTAGGCAATTTCAGGGGATGAAAAGGGCATTTATAAAGGGGTGGGAAGATTTTTCAAAGATAGATATTTTCCCCTTCTCCCCCAGTGGTTACGTCATCGGGCAGCATAGCTCAAAGGAGTTATGACAGTTTTTGAAGTGGAGAAGGGGTTGCAGGGTGTTGTGAGTCTGGTCATTATGATATCTTCCTTTTTATTCTTGTCTTTATTTTTCTCTTCTCTTTTTCTTTTTCTTTCCTTTTCCTCTTCTTTCTCTTTCCCTCCCTCTCCCCTCTTTCTTATCTCTTACTATTCAGCCCGGTACGACGGCTTGGTCAGCCCGGTTTCCCCCACCCCCCACGCGCCTGTTACGACTAACACGCCCATCATCCCCCAATGAAAAATACTTTTCTACGCCACTGGTGTGTGTGTGTGGGTGGTGGGGTGTGTGTGTGTGATATCATATATGTGTGTGTGAGTGTGATATTAAAAGGCAATATACTATAAAACAACGATGCTGTGGGAAACAATGGCTGGATATCGGTACAAATTTAGTAAACAGCCAGATATAGAACCAGAGCTTTCGGACAACTGTAGTCCTTCTTCTGTGTCAAATATATATACTAGTCCTTCCTTAGTGTGTATTTTTAATAAGCCTTCTTAAAATCAACACACTTCAAAAATGCAGGCACCTCCTGATTTTTCCCAAATCCAGACAAAGCATCAGCACGAACTGAAATGTAATATCCATTATTACAATTTTATTTACTTTTCTAAATTAAATAGAAACTCATTTTGATCAAAATACTATAAAACAACGATGCTGTGGGAAACAATGGCTGGATATCGGTACAAATTTAGTAAACAGCCAGATATAGAACCAGAGCTTTCGGACAACTGTAGTCCTTCTTCTGTGTCAAATATATATACTAGTCCTTCCTTATTGTGTATTTTTAATAAGCCTTCTTAAAATCAACACACTTCAAAAATGCAGGCACCTCCTGATTTTTCCCAAATCCAGACAAAGCATCAGCACGAACTGAAATGTAATATCCATCATTACAATTTTATTTACTTTTCTAAATTAAATAGAAACTCATTTTGAGACAATCAAAAACAGGTCTGGGGTGGGAGGAGGTGTGCTTAACGTCATGTTTCTGAATTCAAACCCTGTTTGTTTTTGTATTGTAGGCATAGGCCTATACTATACATTCTAACCTGGGGCGTCGATCGGCGGGGGAAAGGGAGACACGCCCCCACTTTTCAAAGTAGGGGATATCATATCAATTGTACCCTCCCCACTTTTTACCAACTTTTTTTTATAGTTAAAACCCCGTTTTTCAAATCGAGTGCAAAGAACAACAATTACTAATGATTGTCATGAAGTTTGTCTCTTCGATTGTGCTCTGTTCGATTGTGCTCTGTTCCTCCGGCCTATTTCCTCCGGACCAATACTGAGTAAAAAAGCAATTATTATATTTCGTAACCATCTCATTAACCACTCCATCGATTTTATTATTAAAATTGGAAGCGTCACGTGTAAAACAATTAGGCCAACATTTTTACAAACTCTAGCCTGAAGTGCACAATTTCCACTATAAACGATTTAGGCCTATGGCCTATTCGTTTTGTATATTATTAAGACCCGTATATTAGTGTTTAACATTATCTACATCATATATAAATTCCTGTTTTTCCTAATTTAGAAAAATAAATAAATAAATAAATAAAATAAATTAAATAAAAAAATATATCTATAGGCCTATATAGTTAGTTAATTGAATGTTAATCAATCTCGCCATGACATCATGATAATGATAAACTAAGTAGGCCTAAATCACCTTTATGTTTGTTAAATAAAAATGCTAACTATGTCTTGTGTGCTTCTTGTGCCTCCCTGCCCCCCACCTAAAATTTCGAATTTCTGGATCGCCACTGTGTTATGAAAATGTAGTGTTATAAATAAATTGCATTCCTTAAAATTAATTAAACACGACTTTTAAAAGCTTCCCATGGTATGAGAAGCGTGGCACCAGAGAGAAGAGGAGTGATCGCGGTGGGTAGGTCAAGGCTTATACACGATATTGGACACAAGGAAGGTCGTCGGCAGAGAGGGTACGGTATTACCCGCGAGCATAACCGTAGCTAGGGGAACGGTGCTTACACGACTGATTCAACATTTCCCTCACCGCTTAGGCATACCCTAGGCTTGCCTTAGGCACTCTCGTATCCTACTAAGTCGGCTGGTATTCATGGGCCCTCTTAAAATAAATGAAGAAATGGATGCTTTTATCAGAGAAGTCTCTTTATGAGGCTTAGGGAGTGGAATTGTTTTTGTCGTGAGAAGAAGTCCTGCCGTGACAGGACTCCCCAGTTTTGGCGACCACTACAAACAAGTCATAGGCCTACCATATGTTTGTACAGTAAGTGTGATTTCTGTTCTTTAGTATTTAAGTTTTCGTTCTTCGTACGCTGGTCATTAAATGCCCCAGCCAACTGAACGCAGGGAGCAGGCACGTAACAGGGGTCTTGGGTGGGGGGGCAAAGGTAATAATTTTCCCGGTTAGTAATTTATCATACCCACCCCACCTCCCATATAGAAAACAATACGACATAGGGCTTATCATATTTATAATATAGGCCACACACGTGTGTTTGAAACTAAATATAAGCATTTGCTTCCAAGGGGAATAAATTAAATAACCTCAGACTGTCCTTACTATACTCCGCATAAGTTGGTATGACGGGGCCAGGTTTATCAAAATAGAAATTGGCTTAAAATTGTCTCAAGTCCATTTTTTTTTGCTTAAGTCAAATATATCAATATGCTTAGCTCATGCTTAAAATTAAAAAGTCGACTGTATGCATGAGCCATCTAAAACAATTTTAAGCTAAGATTTGGCTAAGATGGTTTGATAAATCAGCTTAAGATATTTATCTTAACTTTTTTGATGTAAGACATTTGACTACAAAATCCTTAAATCGACCAGCCAATTTAAGAGTCTGTGCATAAGAATATAGGACTGGTATATTTTAACTGTCGCTTAATTGACAGTAAAACAATTTTGTCATTCATATATTTAATTGTAAGTTTGTAACTTACTTAAATATAATTATTCAGTTATGAAATTAAATTGTTTATCTTTCAGCTCAAGACAGATAGTGTACCGTATATTTAAATTGGACCTCATTGAATATGGGCTGGACTCAGGCCTAATGGGCATTCCTGATGCTAATCACGGTAAATTTTGCTTTTCTCGATCTCAATCCATTTATTATCTTGCTTATTTAGCATGAAATAAATTCAGTCCATCAATCAAAAAATATTATATCATGAAAAATGTTTGTATGAAGATTATAGATATAGTATTATGTTTATTGTTTGAATATACTGTATTTATGAATCTATGTCTTCATTTCTATCGAATAGTACCCTTTTTATAAATGTTATTTACCCATGATAATCGGAATGCTAACGTAATTTGTTTTTTGTGCTATTACGATCTACTAAAAATTAATATTTAATATGATAATGCTGATATAATAGGAATTGTGAAGTACTATTATGTTGCATCAGTAGCATTGTCCATTGTGATAACTGAATACAATATTGATAATGTTCATGTTAACTGAATACAATATTGTTAATGTTCAGGTGGGGTGCTCCCCTGGGGGGGGGGTGGTGGGCAGCCAGCCTGTCCCCCCTGAGAGTGCCATTTCTGGCCATATAGAGGTGCCATAATCGAAAAGTTTCTTACCTTAGCCCCAACCATGGTGGGGCTGAGGTGGTGGAAACTCTTCATCTGGCAAAGCCCCCTTCCTCGTGGGCCCCCTCTATTTCAAACCTACTGGCTCTGGCCTCTGTTTTTATTTATACTATGTTTTGATAATGCTCCGTTATAATTCTTTCTCTGTTTCCTAATCTTTTCTCAATATTTTTCTATTCCAGTGATGTAGACAAAGAAGCCACAGGAAAGAAACACAAAGGGCAACAGAACTTACCAACTATTAATAGATAGCCAAAAATAGTGTCACTCATCAACTTTCTGCAAAAATTCTGGATATGAAATTAATTAAAATATAGTGTAAATTTTATTTTTTAAATGTTTTCCTCTGCAATAATCTCAAAATTAATGTTAGCAATATGTACCATAGTAATTCTTTTAGGCTTTATGTTTATTAATATTGTTTTATTACTGCTAATTTTTATCTTATTAATAGAGAAAGTAACCCGTTTGTTTGAAAGAATATAGACATGTAAGATAAGATATAACATTTTGAGGATTAAAATCAGGTTTATTGATTTTTGCCTGATGTACATGATATAGGCCTACAGTATATAAATATAATATATATATATATATATATATATATATATATATATCACAACTTGATTTCAATGCTACACTACAATTTACATTTATTTCTTACATACTCGGAAATTGAAGTAGGCCTATGTAATATCTGTCTCTTATACACATCTAGATGTGTATAAGAGACAGGGCTTAGGGGTCGCACTGCTTCCTCCCTCCGTTCAGTTGGCTGGGGCCGAGCAAGTAGTTCCATCGTGCATTTAAGTGACCAGCGTACGAGGAGCGAAAACTTGAATACTAAAGAACAGAACACACTTACTTGCATCATGGTATTCACTCGTAGCGGTTCTCCACAACGTAAACACGTCACCCTCTGGATGTTCATGTTGAACATGCTGGAACTAACAACTAATTGTGATGTTTTGTGATGCTTCCATGTGGGAATAGTGTTAGTGTGGGAACTTATTTTATGTTTATAGGTTTGGTATGGATGTTTGTATTCAATGACACCTTCAGATCACAAGAGTCCTCTGCAGGTTGATAAATGCCACTTAAAGCATATTTTTAAGCTTAAATAACAATTAATTGGATGGTACCAATTAGGACCATGTGGCCGAATCTAGGAATAATTACAAGGTTAAAAATTGCTCAATTTTGGTTTAAAAAAAAAACAACATGAGTTTAAAGCTCATATTTGTTTTGGAAAATTTTTTTCGATCCCGCCATTTTCCGGTTGTTTTGTATTCCATGACACCTTCTGATCACAGAGTCCTCTGTAGGTTGCTCATATTTAGCCTAAAATGGGTAAAATTTAAGAAAATAGGTCCATATTTTTGCGTAAAAATTGTCCACATTTTTTTAATTTACGCGTAAAGTGGGTCCACCCTGATATTGTCCCGCACTGTTTGAAAATCCTGGCTTCGGCATTGGTCATTACACAACAACAAATCTGTTTTTTACTGTTGTTTACATTTTCACTCTGATATTCCTGTTTAATGCCATTGTATAAAAGTGACTCAAAACAATTTTAGAGCACAGTCTCCAGTCTGTTCAGAGCATCCCATTCTTTTTCATTTGTTGCACTTTGTTTTAAGTTAATTGTCATACGTGCATGACGTGTAGTTGACAATGCGTTTCAATTAAACATTTTAAATGCCAAATTTGAGTTTGATTTTTATTTTCTCGTTTCTGTGTCAAAATTCCTTTTTAATGTCATTGTATGAAATGGACTCAAAACAATTTTAGAGATTTTTTTTATCATTTTTTTCTCCGGAACCTGGCTTGATTTGATTCAATGTAACATCTCACATTTGGCACTATTTTCAGTTCCTGAAATCTGCAAAATGGTTATACATGTTCCATCTATGCGTCTACATCAGAAAGCTTGGATGCAGTATATATGTGTCTAATCATCTCGCTATTCTCCCAAATGATAATATTGTTAATGCGATTATGACAAAGGAAGTACACACAATGATGTATTATAAATTACACTACAGTTTACTTTTATTTCTTACGTACTCGGAAATGTTACACAAGAACTATATAAACTAATATAACTAGATTATAGATTTAAATAATATAATATAATATATATATATAATGCTAGGCCTAATTATATTGAAGTAGGCCTATGTAATATCGTTCGAGAATTAATTGTTCGTTGTATAAGAAACATAATTGGCAAATTTGATTCAATTCCGGCGATCCAGTGATATAAATCCTAATAGACACCCGCGCGCGATTATTTGTAAAATTAAGACCATATCCGGCTATTAATAGCATCTTGTGTTCCGGCAATTTAATACACATCGTGTTCCGCTGACGATAATTGTACATCGACTTCACACTTATTGATGGATCGGTAGATTTGACCTGAGACGCTGAAATAAGAGATTGGACTAGTGAGAGAAATACATTCAAACTAGTTTCATTTTGGCATCTGTGTTAAATTAGGCCTAATTAAGTATAAATCTCATTAGAAACTTTATGACATTCATATTTTAATGAGGTATAGGAATACAAATTCAGAAAATAAAATTGATTGTTAGATGGATTTAATACATTATGTACAGTGTACATGTTAATAAAGCGTTATTTTAATATGAGTGGGTGAGTACGCTCCCCAACAGTGGCGCCGAGGCTGGGGTAACCGGGGCCAGTTCCCCAGGGCCCGGGCACAGCAGGGGCCCGCGATAATTGGTAAAAAATAAAATAAAATAGATAAAAATTATTGAATGTATATACATTTATCCTGTATCATTCATGTGTTTTTCCCATGAGAATTGTAAATAAAGCTGACCTTAATCACTTCTAATTCTTTTTCATGAACATTTTCATGACTCCTACTATACTCTAGAGTGTATGTTTACAATGTATCAAATAGTAAATTCTTTACGTTATTTATAAATATAAAAGGCTTGGACCTTAGACATCGTCAATATACATACAAGTAGGGGGGGGGGGGGGGTACCCACCTCCCAAATCATTTAAAATTTAGCAAAAATTTGAAAAAAAAAAATTCTACTCAATTTTAAGTCCAGAGGCCGTCCAGAGGTGCCATAATCATAAATTTTCTTACCTTAGCCGCCTTGGTGGGGCTGAGGTAGATAGACCATCCATTGTGAAGGTCCTTTTCTTATTTCTGTACTTTATTTTTTTATGACATGGTAACATTAGGCACTCTACAATCGATTAAATTATTCCTCTAATCCATTTAAAAACTTTAGCTTTTTGATTCCGAGGTGTGTGGGGGGGGGGGGGTGTGGACCAGTGATCTTCCACTTGATCCCACTGCGGCCGCAGTCGGACCCCCAACCAATGGGCCCGGGCAGCGAAGAATCACCGGGGACCGCGGCCGCTCTCTGCGGCCCTGCTCCCCAACATCCAACCCCTAATCGAAAAAGGTCCAAATTTTAAGACAGTCGAAAATGTACTAAATTGTTTTTTTATTTTTTAGTAATAAAACTTAAAAGCGAATATTAAATCTTAACAATACTCTATCGGACCCCTGTATCGTCCTGCTTTTCCCCTTCATCTGGAGTTTTAGGTGAACCCTCCCCATTTGATGTGATCATTACATCTTATGTTCCTATCTGAGATTATAATATATACATACATATATATATATATATATAAGCAATGAAAAAACGATGTACAATCATTGAAGGTTGACTTGCGGAACACCGTTTTTTCATTGCTTTTGCATTTTATTTTACTTGGCGCATACATGCAAAAAAGCTCATTCCCACCATCTACGAATTAAAATTTTCCCGGGGGAGAACCTCCGGATCACCCTTTCTTTTTGGGATTTATCGATTCATGGGAAAAAAGAATACGTATGCACCTACTCGTTTATTTATGTATGTAGGCCTATACACACATAAAATAAAAAATGAGAAAAATTTACCTGACCATTTTCAAGAGGGGAAAACCTTGAATTTTGAAGAACTTAAAAAGTCATTTAAAAGACATTTCAGAAGTAGGGGAAAGTCATTTCCCGCATTCTAGAAATCGAAATTTTCCAGGGGGACCCGGACCCAATTTTTCATTGGGGTTCATTTTTTTATTGAATCATTTTCAAGAGGGGGAAAACCTTGATTTTTGAAGAAATTATAAATAATTAAAAGACACCTCAGAAGTCGGGAAAGCTCATTTCCCGCCCTCTAGGAATCAAAATTTTCCCTGTGGAGAACCCCCGGACCCTCCTTTCTTTTTGGGATTTATGGGTTCATGGAAAAAAAAAGTATGCAAATACTCAATTTTTTTAATGTATGTATACACACAAGGCCTGTCTACTGTAATGTAACAATGGGATAAATTTACCTGACCGTTTTCAAGAGGGGAAAACCTTGAATTTTAAAGAACTTAAAAGTAATTAAGACACCTCAGAAGTCGGGAAAACTCATTTCCCGCCTTCTATAAATCAAAATTTTCCCGGGGGAGAACCCCGACCCCCTATCTTTTTGGGATTTATCGATCCATGAAAAAAAAATCGTATCCAACTACTCATTTTTTTAAATGTATTTATACACACATAAGGCCTATTTACTGTAATAACAAGTGGAAAAATTTACCTGACCGTTTTCAAGAGGGGAAACCTTGAATATTGAAGAACTTAAATTAAAATCGCTAAAAGCTACTTCAGAAGTCGGAAAAGCTCATTTCCCACCATTTAGAAATTAACATTTTTCCGGGAAGAACTCGAACCTCCCTTTCTCTTTGGGTTCATTGATTCATTATAATAATTTTCAAGAGGGGGAAAACCTTGAATTTTAAAGAACTTAAAAGTAATTAAAAGACACCTCAGAAGTCGGGAAAACTCATTTCCCGCCTTCTAGGAATCAAAATATTCACGGAAGAGAACCCCTGGACCCCCTTTCTTTTTGGGATTTATGGATTCATGGAAAAAAAATCGTATGCAACTACTCAATTTTTTTAAATGTATGTATACACACACCGGGCCTATCTACTGTAATAACAATGCGATAAATTTACCTGACCGTTTTCAAGAGGGGAAAACCTTGAAATTTAAAGAACTTAAAAGTAATTAAAAGACACCTCAGAAGTCGGGAAAACTCATTTCCCGCCTTCTAGGAATCAAAATATTTACGGGGGAGAACCCCGGACCCCCCCTTTCTTTTTGGGATTTATGGATTCATGGAAAAAAATTGTATGCAACTACTCATTTTTTTAATGTATGTATACACACATAAGGCCTATCTACTGTAATAACAGGGATAAATTTACCTGACTGTTTTCAAGAGGGGAAAACCTTGAATTTTGAAGAACTTAAAAGTAATTAAAAGACACCTCAGAAGTCGGGAAAACTCATTTCCCGCCTTCTAGGAATCAAAATTTTCCTGGGGGAGGACCCCGGACCTCCCTTTTCTTTGGAGCATATCGATTAATTAAAAAAAGAATACGTAGGCCTATGCAACTACTAATTTTTTATTTTTATGTAGGCCTATGTATACACACATAAGGCCTATTTCCTGTAATAACAATGGGAAAAAATTACCTGACCGTTTTCAAGAGAGGAAAACCTTGAAATTTGAAGAACTTAAAAGTAATTAAGACACATCAGAAGTCTGAAAAGCTCATTTCCCGTCATCTAGGATTCAAAATTTTTCCGGGGGAGAACCCCGGGACCCCCGCCCCTTTTCTATGGAGCTTATCGATTCATTGAAAAAAGAATATGTATGCAACAACTAATTTTTTTTTGTATGTATACACACATAACAGGCCTATTTACTGTATTAAGAATGAGAAAAGTTTACCTGACCGTTTTCAAGAGGGGGGAACCTTGAATTTTGAAGAACAAAGTCATTAGAAACCTAGCTCAAAAGTCGAGAAAGGTCATTTCCCGCCATCTAGAAATCATAATTTTCCCGGGGGAGCACCCCCGGATCTCCTTTCCTTTTTGGGAAAAATGTTGACTCCCATCCCCTAGGTTTTTCGAGCTTTTCCAGATCTGTATGATTCATATTCCCATTCATCTTATAAGTGGGCCCCCCCCCCCACTTTGAAAAACGTTCCGCCGGCCCTGAACTGAGTTCTGAAGATGTTGAAATACGTGTGATGACCCAAACTAAATGCTCCTTAATCCGTGTTTAGGTGTCTATTGGTCTCGCCAATATACACGAAGCTACACCCCGCGCAAGTAAATTTATAGATAACACGGGCTCGGAAATTAGTCGGGACATAGTATTTTACGATAAAAAAAATTTGATAATTTGTATGACTTGAAAGAAAGTCTGATATTAATAGTACAGCAATAATTTTTTACCATAACGTTAATTTTTCGTTGAAAATAATTAGATAATGGTGTATAGGGTAACTTGAAATAAGAGGTTTGTGTTTGCGTTTTAGGAGGATCCAAAATGGTGTGCGATAGTTTTTTGTTCAGGTAGTTATGTATTGTTTTATTAATTAAAGAAATTGGATAACAATTGTTTTGAAAAGTGAGTACAAGTTTTGTTAAATCATTGTGAAAACCCACCCATGTGTTGTTAATTTTAAACGTACGGTCTATTAGAGTGCGTAGAAGTCCAAGTTTATAGGCCTATGTAAGTGACGTAGAGCTATGGAAATGTGTTAACAAGCTCCACAGTTCCAGAATGTAACAAGGTGTGGGTTCCGTCCAGGTGAACTTGGTATTCATGGTCACTTTCCAACAATTCGTGAAATGGAGTGTCGCCATACTGTAACATAACAAAAAATATAAAGTGTAATCAATGGCAGCTAACTCATATGCACACAACTTTTTTTTATTTGCTAAAAACATTAACACAAACAATGAATAACAATAAACTGTAGGCCAATACCTGCCAAATATGTAATATAATTAAACAATCAAAAAAAATTTAAAAATATATATTCACAATCAAATAATATGACGACAAAAGGTTAAGGAACTGTCAACGAAAAATAATACCAAAGTCTTGGTGAACAGTGACTCTTCCAAGTGTTACAGCATTAATATCAAAATTATACATAATAGGTTTCTTCTTTAGAGTAATAGACGTAGTTTTACATTTGGAGGCATTGGCAGACATAGACCACTGATTACACCAATTAATAAGAGCATCTAGATCTTCCTGTAAAAACAACATATCATTAATAGAATAAACAGACTTAAATAATTTAATATCGTCAGCAAATAGTAGAAATTTTGAATGAAACGGAACAAAGGAAAAATCATTAATAAACATAATAAAAAAAATAAAGTCTCTAAGATAGACCCCTATGGGACTCCAGATAAAACTGGGAGCCACTCGGGTGTTTGACCTTCAATAGTCACCCTTTGTAAACGATCACATAAATAACTTTTAAAAAATAAAATAATGTCATGACTAAATCCAAACTTTTCAAGTTTGTACAAAAGCAAATTATGGGAAACCCGATCAAACGCTTTGGCCATGTCAGTATAAATAACCTCTAATTGACCTCTAGAGTTTATCTCGTCATAAGCATGTGATAAAAGCACAGATAGGTTGGTTTCACAAGATTTTCCCGGATAAAATCCATGTTGATTAACACTGATAACTGGTGAGATATGATTAAAAATTGGGTCATGTAAAACTTTTTCAAATACCTTAAATAAATATATAGAAAAACGAATACAATACAGGAAATAATATTAAACTGTATAAATGCACCAATATTTTGAGAACATTAACGGTATATTACCACTTTATGCTGCATTCTATTTCATGAATGGGTATTTTTATGCGATTGTTTTCGGCCTATTTAAATCAAAGTTTTATGACCCACAGATCGTTTAAAGTCATTATATAAATAATACTACACATTATTAAATTAATTAAAATGATTTAGATAGCAAAATTATAGAATGTATATACAGAAAATTATTTTTAGAACATTAACGGCATTAAGAACATGAATGTATATATAGCAATGTTATAATAGGCATACTGTTACTGTAGTTTAAATTAAAACGCATTTATTTATTTATTTCATTTAGGTATACATTATCTTAATTAAACTTTATACACTTATTATAAATATGCTTATAAGACATTAACTGACAGGCCTATTTAATTAATTTTTTGCTGATAGCTAAATTGTTAATCAGGTTTGATTTACAGAATAAGACAAATCTAATCATTAAACTACAATAAGCAGTTACGAATAAACAGAGATCGCAACCACTTCGCATTGGAAGGCTTCTAAATTCTCAATTTCGCAATTCTGGAATTTGCCTCTTTAACAATAGACATGCAATAGATAGTTTCTCTTTTTCCCGATAGGCCTAAATCATGTAATTTTCTTTCTTCTTTGAGAGTGGAAAAGAACAATTTCCAATTATGAATGAATAAATAGATATCTATGTCTATGCCCCTACTTTCCGTTGTTGTTTAGTCCCTTTTTAGTATATAAACTATTATTTTATAAATAAATTAGAAATACGGGGGTGACTGTGGGAGGATAACTTTACCTGCGTTACATATACTGTATCTAATATATTGTTTACACTTCACTACTACATTTTTCTACTCTGAGCCGACCATTTCAATGCTATTTCAATGTAAATATTATGTTTACAAATGGCTATAAAAGGATGAGCCAACAGCTCTACCTACCATACTACCGAGAAGATAATGAACCATTTCGTCTATGTGGTGACCTGGGCGCTACTACCCCGCGTAGTAAGCCCCGTAGCGTTAAATGGGCGACACTACTGCAGGTTCATGAATAATTAAGTTTAGAAATAGAAATGGAATATTCATTTCACCTAGCGCTGTATGTTATTGTCGACAAGGTCCAGTGAACACTTCTGTCT